GCGGGTGTCGGGCGAAGAGCAGCCGCGGGGCGCTCTCTAGAGCTGAGATGTAAACGGCAGGTGTGGCCCCCGTCTCGCCAGGGGCTGGTAGGTACGCGGAGAGCAGAGCAGGGTGCTCTGGCAGATCTGCCTTTCGTGCACTGGGAGGGGCGTGGAATGTGGCCTCCGTTGCCGTTTCTTTGCTGAGCCATTTGACTGAATTCTCTAGATCGACATAGTCCCCTCCTCTTTGAATCCTCTACCACAGGGATCTCAAACGGGGGGTTGTGGCCCCAAGGATTATTACATGGAGGATTGTGAGCTGTCAGCCTCCATCCCACTCCTTCTTCCACTATTTGATCTGAGGAAGTGGGTCTGGTCCACGAAAGCTCATCATCTAATAAACCATCTTGTTAGTCTTTAAAGTGCTACATTGTCCTGCATTTTGCTCCTCCATCCCAGAATCCCACTTCATCTCCAGCATTTATAATAGTATTAAATATAAAAATGTTTTATTTTTTAAGTGGGAGGGGATTATGCTAGAGGCTTGCTGTGTCAAAGGGGTTACCATTATAAAAGAGAACCACTGTAATCATGTAGTTCTTTTCTAATCCCCCTTCGTGTCCTTTGGGTCTATAGATGTCCTTTATTCCAGTTCTTAGTTTTCACAGCTTTGACTTTTTTTTTTTAATAAAAAAAAAAAAAATGTGCACACCTCATAAAAACTGGTCTGGGCTAAATTTGACAGCCACAAACAGCAGTAGTTCTGTTTACTGTTGATCCATTCCTTTGCTGGTGATGAACCAGGCTTGTAATTTGGATGCAGTTGAGGATTGTAAGGCAGTGCTTGACCTGGTAGGGCTCACTGCGCTGAACAAATATGTTGAAAATTTGTTTTAATTATAACAGGCATATAATTCATGTCAGTGGATGTTGTGTTACACCTCCTGCTGAGATGCAAGCATAGATGGATGACATGACAAATAATTGTGCCGCTGTTTTATAGACTACTTTGGTTTGATTTTTCTTCTTTAAAATTGTGATAGGGATACTATACTATTACCTGAAGACCAATGGAGGGTTAATTACTTGCAAAATAGTTCAGGCTCTCAAATATTTTTTTTTTAGTGATGCAATAATTATCTATAATTTACAGTGGAAAAATTAAATTGCATTTGCTATTCTTTCCATGCTGTCATTCTCTTCTATGTATCTGTGTTCTTTCTCTCCTTTCAGAGTCAAGCAGGTAGCATGAAGGTCCAATAGTCCAGAAGTATTTTATCTTCTGACAGTGGCCTGTTCCAGATGCTTCGGAGGGAATGAACAGAACAGGTCAATTTCAAGTGAACCATCCCTTGTTGTCTGTTCCGCTTATGGCATTTGAGGGTTTAGGGACATCTGGAGCATGAAGTTGTGTCCTTGACCATCTTGGCTAATAGATATCGATGGATCTAGTCTCCATAAACTTCTCTAATTCTTTTTTGAACCCAGATATGCTTTTGGCCTTCACAACACCTGATGGCAGTGAGTTCCATGTGTTGACACTGTTGTGTGATGTAGGAACGTAAGCGACTAGTACCTTGAATAGTTGACTACTCCATAAGTCTAGGGTTATCAGGTTAACTCCCCCCCACTCTTTGAGCTGGCTTGAAAGTTGGTTCCCCACAGTACCATCTCTGCAGTGCACGGGTTGGAGGGGGGGGCAGGAAAGCAGAGCCACAGTGGTCCCAGAGCCAGTGTAAGCCGGGACTGCTCAGCCCTGGCTTGCGCCAGCCCCAGGAACTATCCCCCGGTTGTGGGTCTGCATTTTAAGTGTAGTAAGAGCTGCGGGGCTCTTACTGCATTTAAAATGCAGAGCTGCAGCAGTCCACAGGCCGGCATGAACAGTCCTGGTTTGTGCTGGTCCTGGGAGCTACCCCTACTGTGGCTCTGCAGTTTAAATGTAGTAGGAGCTGGGCAGCCCGCCTGCCTGGCTCCTACTATATTTAAACTGCAGAGCCACAGTGGAGGTAGCGAACGCCTCCCCTTTTCAACTACTTGTGTAGCCGATACAATTTGTATCGACTACACGATTAGACAGTTACCCACTTCTTAACATCCTTATTGTGAAGTAGGGTTTATGTTTGTTTTAAACCGGTTGCATGTGTATTTTGTTCATGTTTAAAAGTCTTAGAGGGGTAGCCCTGTTAGTCTGTAACTTTAAAAACAACTTAGAAACTAACAAAAATACATCTAGTATCATTAGCTTTCGTGGGCAAACCCCACTTCCTTAGATGGTTCATGTATTATATGAAGGGTAAATATTACTTCCCTATTCACTTTTTCCAACACCATTCATGTTTTTATAGTCCCTCATTAATTGTTTTTCTTCTAAGCTGTACAGTCCCAGTCTTTTTTAATCTCTCCTCTTATAAAAGTTGTTCCATAACTCTAATTAATTTTGTTGCCATTCCTTTCACCTTTTCCACTCCTAATGTAACTTTTCTGAAATGAGGTGACCAGAACTGCAAGCAGTATAGGCATACTATGGGTTTATATGGTGGCATTATTATATTTTCTGTCTTCATATCTATCCTTTTCCTAATAGTTCCTAACATTTTGTTAGCTTGTTTGACTTCCACTGTACATTGAGTGGGCATTTTCAGAGAAGTATGCATGATGGCTCTAAGATCTTTCTTGAGTGTTAACTGTTAATTTAGACCCTCTTATTTTGTATGTATAGTTGGGATTATTTTTTCCAATGTGCATTTCTTTGTAATTATCAACATTGAATTTTATCTGCAGTTTTGTCACCCAGTTATGCGAGGTCTATTTGTAACTCAAGTAATTTTGTATTGTTTGTATATCTTGGCAGTTCACTGTTAGTCTTTTTCCGAATAATTTTTTAATACGTTGAACAACACAGGTCCCAGTATAGATCCTTGGGGGTTTCTGCTGTTTACCATTCTCCACTTATGAAAACTGACAACTTAGTCCTATCCTTTTTTTCCCACCAGTTAGTGACCCATAAAAGAATTCTCTCTCTTATCCCATGACAGCTTAGTTTGCTTAAGAGCCTGGGGAACCTTGTCAAAGGCTTTCTCAAAGCCAAAGACACTGTACTCACTAGATAACCCTTGTGCCCATGTTTGTTGACTCCCTCAAAGAATTCTGATAGATCAGTAAGGCATTAATTGCTTCTTATAAAAGCCTTATTGACTCTTCAACACACTTTGTTCATTTGTGTGTCTGATACTACTTTTCTTCACTATAGTTTCAACCAATTTGCCAGGTACTGAAATTTGGCCTGTGGGTCTATACTTGCCAGGATCACCTCTGTAGCCTTTTTAAAAAATTGGTGTTACATTAACTATTCTTCAGTCATTTAGTACAGAGACCACCTTTGTTAGGTTTACTTACAGCCACTGCTATACTTACTGTGGTGGCTGGTGTTCACACTACTCTCTTTCTGTTGGCAGTGTACATCCTGCAAGAAATGCTTCCACCCAGTAAAGAGGGTGTGTGTTGTGAGGGGCAGTGCCACACTGGGAACTCATCTGTCCTTTGGGGCTTCTCACCTCTGAACTCCCAGCCGGATGGAGTAGGGTAAAGGGAGGCTTCCCTCATGGTGGGACAGATCTGGCCCGGAGGCCATATTTTGCCTGCCCTGCAATAGCTACACTGACGGAAGCCCTTTGCCTCCCCATGTTCTTACATCTGCGGGAACAAGGTTGTAATATAGACACTGACATAAGAAGCTGCCTTATGTCAACCTAGCTGTACTGTAGAGACAACTTAATACTTTAAGTGGAATTATTCATGAAAGGAGATGTGTATTTGGGGTTTTATTACATCTAACAAAACATAAATACCAGTAATCCAGTACTGCTTTATTAGCCAGTAGTATGTTCTGATTTAGAGTGGTTATGAATAGGGATGTAAAATACGGTTTAAAACATTAACCCCTTCACCACGGGTTCCTAAACTGGGGGGGTGCCCTCCTGGAAGGGCGTGAAGAAATTCTGGGGGGGGGGAGGGCGCGAGGTGACCCAGCCTCTCCTTCTCCCCATCAAGTTTTGCTGCCCCGGTCAGTTTGTTTTTGTTTTTGGTTTTTTTGATCAACAAGTTTTGCTGCTATTTTGGAGGGGGGGGGTAAGGATTTTTCAAAAAGGAGGAGTGATGCCAAAAAGTTTGGGAACCACTTAAACTCTATGTTTAACTGGTTAAGCAGCCCACCATATAGTATTGCAGGCAGGGGGAGCTCCAGCCTGTCTGGGCCTGCTGCAGTGCTGGCTCCTCTGGCCAGGCCGGTCTGACCCCTCTGCACTGCAGGTGGGGGGCTGCTGCAGCCAGGCTGGGTGCTGGTTAACTGGTTAGAATCATAGTGTTGGAAGATACCTCAGGAGGTCATTGAGTCCAACCACCTGCTAAAAGCAGGACCAATTCCAACTAAATCATCCCAGCCTGGGCTTTGTTTCCCCGATAAGCATGCCAGTAAGGTAAATGCTTATTGTTTAACTCTTTACGTCCCTAGTTATGAAACTACCATTTCTCCTGAATGTAGACACTACCAGAACTCCATGAATGTTTTTGCCTCTTTCCGATCCACTCAAGTTATGGAGAAGCAAAACTTCCTCCCAGGGTTGCTTCTCTCCTAAGCACTTTGGATAATGTGTGCCATTGAAATTGCCCTCCACAATACCAAAAATATAGGCTATGCTGAGCAGTTCAGTATTCTGTG